AAGAAAACACACACACCCACACTAAAAAAAAAAACTTATTCCAATTAACATTTGGTTAGTAATTAAATAATTTGTACGAAATTTGCTTTATAAATATAGGTGTATTTGTTGTGAGATAAGTAACAGTGATACCCTCTGAAATTATCCATTTCCAAAATAAATGTAACATTTTCGAAAATAAAAATTCTTAGAACACTAAATTCGTTATCCAAATTTATCATTGCGAATTTAGCATAAACCATAACAAATACTTGAAGTGAGGAAAATTGGTATATTTTCGAAATATAAGGCATGATGAAGTTTATCGTGTTGTAATATAAACCATCGATACCTATGGTTTATATGATATATGATTAACTTTTGCTAATTAATATATATTTAATTATACTGACATTACTTTTTTAGCCACCAAAGGTTAAGAATGTTTTTGAAGTTACTTGTTTAAATGTGTTGATAAAAAAAATCTTTTGTAGTTTTAATTGATTTTGAAATAATACTTTTCTTATTAAACATTTTGCTAATTTCATTACGGTCTTTAAAAACAAAACAAAAACACACATACATAAGAAATTCGAATAAATTGAGAAATAACGTATTCGTTTGCGTTATAGACAGTACTTTAGATTATAATATAAAAACATTTAATTTTATTATTTATTTATTTAACAATGAGGGGGTTCCTCAAGCTCTCACGAGACATATTAGCCCTTATACAGTATCTATATTACAGAATAAACTTGAAATAAAGTCCAGCAATGACACAACTGAAGCTGACTGCTGTGAAGGTTGCGTGACTACATAACGACCTTCGTTAACATTTTACTTGGTTAGTCATCGTTCCACTGCTTTTATTATTCAGTAAACTCCCAACACTTGTGACTAAATTGTGCAAAAGAAACTTAACTGTGAAGCGAATATGTTTCCAGAAGTGAAACCAGAAGTGGGAGGGGGAAATGGGCGTGGAAGGAACATAATACCTGAGCTTACACTAAGAGCATTCAGGTATCTAACCTGCGAGGAGAAAGTCCTAGGAATTCGCTTATTACTTTACGGTATTAAGTTATGGTAATAAAATTTTGTAAAATGTACATTAGAATATAATTAGAACAATCTGAAGATGTCAAAATAAGTGTGGAGGAGGTGTTGATAACAAAGTTTAAAATGGTATTGAAGTCACCTAATTTAAATAAAATTATCGCTAAATTCTAGAGTTCTATTTTCATACTTTCATAAACGTTTCTAACTGCATTTAGCGGTTCATTTGGTTACTAATAGGATAATTTCTTTAATGCATTCCACACAAACAGAAATACTAGTCAAAGATTTATTATTTACAACATTGTTGCGGTTGTATTACAAACGAAGTCAGAACGTGATAAAATTATTTTTTGAAGAAAAATTCCAAGAAATACCTGAGTGTAGAAGGGCACACAGAAGGAAGACTATAATCGTGGGCTTTGTTGACTCCATGATGTCAACTAACCGAAGCAAAAAAAAACTAACTTATTACTTATTGACTAAAATTATAACGAAAAACGTATCAAATAACCATCAACACAACCCAACTGTTTCACTACGAAGACGAGCGGGAGACTGAGTTGGCTTGGCCGATTGTGCCGCTACCTGGCAGCTCCGACCCGCACTAGCTTTCAGTTCTGGAAGGCTGGAGTGTGGAAACTACTTTCAAACTATTACCACGGACTATTTTAGTTTTATTTTAACTTATCTGATATGAAAATATTGAAATAGAAAAATTATTAATTATTTGAGTAAATTACATTTTTCTACTACATGAATTATAAAAGAAATTAATAAAATCTTTGAAATATTCGAATAACTCACCTTAATTGGAAAAAAAAAATAGATAAAAGTAATGAAAGCACCAAAGAGGAAATAGATGATTTGAAGTTAACAAACTTGAAAATAACATAAACTTAGAAAGAAAATGTAACCTATTCTTTAAGTTAAAAGTTCCTCAACAATTTGAATAGAAATATTTCTAAATAGTGAAGAGTGGAAGTATGATATAAGCCTTTGTCAAATGTGGTAATTTTTTTTTTACATTATATTTAGTAAAGGACATTCTTAAAGTGAAGAAAAATCTTGTTAAGTATGAACAGTATTATTATTAAGGAAGATTTTTCCAAGAAAACTAGACAGATAAGAGAGCAGTTATTTCCACCTCTTCTTGAAAAGAAAGAAAAAGCATTTGAAACTGTAATTAGGAAGGCCAAACTGCTTGTTAATGGCAAGTTATTTTATTTACTTTAGGAGATTTAATTGCTGAAAAGGATGCAATAGAAGCAGGGAAGAAAATTCTTCAAATGAAAGTGATTCAAGAAAAAGGGACAGACAAGAGTTTTAGAAATACAAGAACGTGTAGTTTAGACAATGATTCAAAGGAAATAAATAAAAAGCCAGCTGAAATAAATCAGAACCCCCAAAATAAATTGCTAACACCTCAAAACTAAAACACGGAATATGATTCGAATATTGCGAATATTAGCCAAAAAAAACATGAAAGAAGACAAAAAAGGCGAGGGAAAAAGTAACCGAAAATGAAAATAATAAGAATAATAGTGAAAATAAAATAAATAAATAAAAATAATTACTAAGAGCAATAAGAACGGATAAACACTCTTCTACTTGAGAAAGAAGCAGATGGAAAAAAGTTATGAATAATATTTAGTTGTGTCATTTTGTTTTGTCCTATTTTAGTTTATTTTTCCGTGAGCTTATGAAGACTTTGTTTTGTTTTTATCTTATGCCCTAAAATGCTATTTTATGAAGGAAAAACTATTCTATTCTATTTTGTTATTTATTCAATTACTGTTATATTTAATTATTTTAAAGGAAGTGATAGTATGAGCTTTCCTCGTTTGTGCTACTCCATTATACCGTGAAATGTGGTACTGTTGGATTCAGAATTTCACGCGGGGTTAACGAATCGTACTCTCCGTTTTCCTTTTCACTTTTAACAATAAATAAAGCCGATATAAACATTCATCGGAATGATGCAGGAACACAAATCCATCAGTTGAGCAGAAAGCTTTGACATCTGGTTGTCGCTTAGTTTTGCTATTAATGTTCATTTAAGGTAATTCATTTTTTTATTTTCTCGTTGTCTGCAGGATGGTAAGCTCATCCTACCCATACTGGGTAGTATGGCCGTGCTAAATATTGCGTGTTACGAGTTCGCGTCCCGGTGCCGGAGGAGCTGTAACTGTGGCATTAATACTCCGCCCTCACTCCCTGGCATGGGAAAATATTACCAAAAAAGGCAAGGAAGGGAAAAAGAAAAGACTGACCATCGAAGTCTCAAATGTGTTATAGTCACTCACTATAAGGAGGAAACAAGACAATGAATTCATGAGATATACCAGTTCTTAGCCCATTCGCTGAAATTCTGCCATTTATTTAATCGAGATTGACCACATAAGAATAATTGAAATAATTCTAGATAATACATCTGCAGGAGGATATATAATATCAGAGCAGGAATCGAAGGTGGCGCAAATGTCTCGGTGAAGATATTTATGGATGTTGTTGAAAAGCAAAGGTTAGTCAAGTAAGCGAATGTGGTCGATGTATAGAATGAATTATATATCTTACAGAAGGTACTGAAAACACTTTTCAGCCAAATTCACTATGAGAAGTCCTCTTATTGTAAAAAAAAAGAAAAGGAAGGTGACTCAGGAATTTTTTTAAAAAAGGCTAGGTAGAAAGTGGAAGATGGTTAGGGTTACATCCGATGTAACATAAGGTCTTAGCTTGGCCAGCAAAGAGTCTGAAATGAGCTCACTATTATCAGGTAGTCGAACTCACTATAACGAGGAAACAAGACGCATTTTTCGTAATTTCTAACAATGAGAGATAGTTAATTATTTAAAATAAACCAAATTAAAGGTACTTTAGAGGAAGACAAGTGACATCAATGGAGATATGACCTAAATGATATTAAAGACCACTGTTAACCAATGATACACCGATGTAATCAAAATCGTTAGAGCCATTTTTGAGAAAATTGTAAAAACGTGCATAACCGTTGATGTGAAATTGCACTTCAGGTAAGCCGATTTTATGAAAAAAGTTGCAGTAAAATTCCAACCATATACCTATCTTAAATACGCAATATCAGTTTCATACGAATTTTTGTTTTTGACCTAGACTATTCACATACATACACACACTCAGAACATTTTGTGGGACTTGGTTATTTGAACTCAGGGAATCTTAAAACGTGTATTTACGTTGAAAACTCAGATTTGAAAGTTTTCAGGCTCACAATGTTTTTCCTTACTATATGTTACATATATAGGTAACTGAAGGTAAAAATGGACAACCAATGGTTATAACTTGGAGGGATTACATTAAAACGATAGTGATCACTATTTACAAAATCTGATTTTGAACATTTTCTTTGTTAGGTTTCCTCTGAAATTCTCCTCTCAAAAATAAAGAAAAATGTGAAATACTTTTCTGCTATTCCACCAACATTAGAATCAGCTGATATATGTAGTGAGATATATGTACTGTCGAATCTTTTACTACTAGTCAAATGGATTTGTTAAAATTGGGAAAGATCATCGACTCGGCTCCGAACTCACAGATGTAATTGAATTGTCCACATGATAGACATATTCGATGACACCGTTGAGCTCAGCGCTGAGTTGAGGATCTAGTTTATTACAGAAGTTGCAGAAGTTTGTATTCAGGCTTATTTGTTTTTTCTCATTCCTGCTTGCATTGAATTTAAGGACTTAATTTTCTTAAATATTTCGTCAACATTAGTTTTATATCGCAAAGAATTAAACAAAACCATTTATAAATAAAGTGCTGTAAATCCAAGTCCTTTAATCTTTTTACCACAAACTCTCTAACAGATAATATACAATTTTATTTCTATTAGACCAAACAAAGTCCTATTTCTAGACTATTGTTTTCATCTACCAGGAGCGCCACTGTAGAGGTAATGCCAAGATATGGCAAGGAAGGTTATCTTTGATTATATAAGGATTTTATCTAAACCCTGATAAGAAAGGATTTCTGGTTTACACTCGGTGTAAATGGAGGAACAGTTGGCGAATCGTTCGAGACCAGTTCCATTGACCCATCCCTAGTCTACAGTTATATATGTTTATTGTATCCAGATTCATTCCTTAAAGGTCACATAATTAATCAACGAAGTAGATCGCTTTGTTAATAATTATTTATAATCTATTTAAAACTGACTGCATTATTGTAATGTATTTTCTGTTTCATTATTGTTAGGCTTATTTTATTTATTTTTTTCACAGTATCTTACAATGTATTTTAATGTTTACAGAAATAAGAAAATGGGTCGTGCATGGTACATGGATGATTCTACAGAGGATCAAAGGCTGGAACACCACCGAAATCCTCCCAAGTTCATTTCTATGCGTGAATTATATAAAGTGTCTGGTGTTGAATATTTTTCGGTTTGTAATTTGTATCATCTTTAACCTTCAATAGTTTCATAATATTTACATCCCACTTTGGCAAGAATTTAATTTTCTAGGAAATCAATTTTATATTGAATGAAAATATTGACCTTTTGGAAAAAATAAAGAAAGAAAGAAATTATACTTATGAGGATGAATTAACATGTTCCAAAGAGTGCTTGCCAAATTATGAAGAAAAGGTAATTAATAAATGTTTTATAAGTGTTTTTTTAAATGTATATATTATACTAATATACCTTCTTTTATTTGTGTTCTAATGTATGTATATATTTGTAAATATCAATTAATTTATTCCTTATTTATTAATTCTTTATTACAATTTATAATCCTTCTTGATTTTGACCTTCATTGTTTTCATCATATCGCTAATTGTTATTATTATATGGATCATATGATCAAATTTTGGATGCAATAACAAAAATGGTCAAGTGTGTCCAGTAGTAGACAGAAGTAAACGATCTTGTGAGTGATAAGGCCTTAGCTGAAAAAGATCCATTAGGGTTTGTTTAACTCTTTTAAGCAAGCAAAGTTTGAGATGTAATTAAAGCTATTTAATTTAAGCCTTTAATCTCTTAAATTGTAATTTTTTCGTGAACGAACTTCATTGGAGACAATCAGAAGATAATTAAAAGTTTAAAAAATTAAAATTGTTTATCTAACAACATTTTCTATTACTATTGAATTTGAATATGTACTTGTTTTTTTACTGAAAGAATAAACATTGGAACATATATAACTTTAGAAACTACCTTGCAATTTGTAGTTGAGTAAAAACCTGTAAACCTGTACCACTAACAACCCATGAAGGGTCTTGGGTTCAGTACAATGTGAGGAAGTACTGTTACACTCCAACGGTTGTGCCTGGAAATAATCAGGCCGAGATCACGCTCAACCGCCAGGTTTTTCCTCCTTAATCAATTATACAATTAAGGGTATCAACTTTATAGAGGTTGGGTATACCACAGGAGGATCTCCTGGCCACAGGCTGAATCCATGGCTGATGAAAAATTATTATTCATCAGCTGGATTCGAACCTGTATTTGAATACTGTAGAATAATATTGTCCATAATACAGAATACTACTCAATTCCTCTGGAACTTGCGTTTTTAAGCCCAAAAACGTACTATTTTCGAGATAACGCAAGGCATAGGATTCGCATCCACACAACTTTACGTTAATTGTAGTACTGTCATTGAATACATGCCTCATTTCGTCGACTTGGGCCCTCTATCATTGAGAGAGGAGGAGTTTATATTATTTATCAATGGTGTTTTTGATCAGCAAGCCATATAATCTTTAATTCTTCACCAAATCTCAAGATTGAGCCACCGATTTCGAAGGCTTCCTTCTCCTTCAGGCAGGCAAAATAGTCCATTCATTCCGAAAATTCAGTCAAACAAGTTATGAAACAAAACAAACTTTATTATGCTGTGCGAATTTTTCGCATGGCCCTACTAGTGTTACTTAATATTTAAAAATTAATTGAATGAATTCTGGAAACATTAAAGATGAATTGTGATTCTTAATGTTTGGTTTTAGCTGTCACATTCATGAACAAATATATTTGTCATTAAGTAGTATCTGATAATTAAGATGTTAAAATAATTATGTTTCGATGGCATTAATACTATAATAACTCATGTAAAACTGTATTTTATATTCATTTCTTAATGACAAATCAATCAATTCAATTCTTAATTGTATATAGGTATGACTGTATTTTTATGTTTTTAATTTACTTATATTTAGTTTATTTTATTTTTCATTGTATATAGTTTTTATTTATTATTATTTAGTTATTATTTTACTTTTGTTAATTTTGTTTCTTTTTTGTATATACGGTGTGAATGTGTTCATTTATCAATATAATTATTCTCCCTGTGACAGAATATTATATATCTAAATAAATAAATAAATAAAAATAATTACTTAAAATAATATCGCAAAAGAAATATCTCTGGGTATTTATTCTTCCTCATACCTGCCATGTCATTATTTTCTTTATAATTGCAACAGGATATCTTGTGATTGTCATTGTTAATTTAGATAGGTGTGGAAACAAAAATTAAGTTTAAAAAAATTATAGTGATAATTTTTCTAATATTTATATTTTATTTGTTTGCTTTTCTAGATCAAATCATTCTTTCAAGAACATTTGCATACTGATGAGGAAATTCGTCTGGTATTACAAGGTTCTGGATACTTTGATGTAAGAGACACCAATGATGAATGGATACGAATTGAAGTTACCCCTGGGGACTTACTGATTATACCTAAGGGAATCTACCACAGATTTACCCTTGATATGAATGTAAGTGCCAGTTTAATATCACTAAATCATTGAAATGATTATTATCTAATGAAAATTTATTTTTTGCAGAATTTTATCAAAGCTAAGAGATATTTTGTTGGTGAACCAGTATGGACACCACACAATAGACCAGCCGATGAAATGCCTTGCAGAAAACAATATTTAGCTAAAATGAATGGGCTAAAAGCTTAATATTGTTAATGATATGTCAAATATATCATTGTGATGTGAATAATCTGTTAATATATTACATTTAAAATTTAGTTTTTTTTTGTTTTCCCTATGCCATAGTCATTGGTCATTCGACCATCCGACATCTTGCTGCCCAATATAAGTTTGATTTTTGTATGTAATCATTTACATATGTTTGATTCTTTATATCCGTCAAAGCAGAACATTCGTTTAGGTGGTCTGCATCCATTTCCGCTTCTTCACATAATTTACATCTAGGATCCTCAGCCACGCCTATCTTGGGGAGATAGCCGTGACCAGTGGCCAGGCGGAAGCAGGCTACTGCATCTCTTCTTGGTAGGTCTGCTGGGATCGGGTTTTCCACCAAACATCCATAACGTTTCCCTTCCACCTTGTCTTTGTGTATATTTTTTGTTTCCTCCTTCACTACCATCCTCACCATTCACCGAATTGAATCGTAGGATTTTGGATACACTGTTTGTGGCAGTTCTGTTCCCCTCCTGGCGAGACTATCCGCTTCTTTATTTCCTGGAATACCACAATGGCTCGGAATCCACTGAAGGACCACATTGGTGCCTCGGAGTGTTAGATCGTAGAGAAGGGATTTGCACTCCAAGATAGCACTCGACATACATTTATTCACGTCAGTAATGGCATTTAAAATTTAGTGTAAATATCTATTTTGTTTATATTGTTATATTTTAAAACCTTTTTGGTCTAAAGTATTTTTTTTTATTTTATTATTTTAATGGAATTTACAACTGTGTTACATAGAAAATACAATAAGTAAATGTGAAATTGGTAACATGACATTTACTGCATGAAGAGAAACTACCCATTGGTAGAACTCAAGTTAAAGTTCTATATTAGAAGATCCCGAGGCCATCTTCTTTTCAGACGCCTCGGAGGGTTATCAGGGATCGAGGAGGAAGCAAGATTTGAAACGAGAGGATTCGGATGGTTCTGCAGTTTGTTATGGAAGGATAGGTATCTGGATTGGGCCAAATCAGAAACATATGGAACATTAAGGTCTTTATGGATGATTTTATTTGTGACAAAGTAAGGAGCGTTGAGGATTTTACGAAGGATTTTGGATTGTAAGGATTGGATACGAGAGGAATTCGATGGTTTAGTGGAGCCCCAAAGCTCAATTCCGTAAGTCAAAATAGGTCTTATTATTGTCATATATATGAGTCGTTTATAATTGATTGAAAGCTTAGATCGTTTGTCTAGTAAGTGCTGCAGTAATCGAAAACGTCGGGCGGTTTCTAGTCGTTTCAGTCTGGTATGGAGGTTCCAAGTGAGTTATTTGTCAAGGTGGAGTCCTAAGTATCGGATTTGTTCGACAGGGATTAGAGGGCTATAGTTGAAGGATACTGTAGGACAGGAAGTCATAGGTTTACGACGAAGAGTGAAGGTAATTTGATGGGATTTATTGGAATTTATTTTAATCCTCCAGTTTTTACACCATTTTTCAAGGCTTGTGATGTGTGATTGAAGAGTTTGTGATGCAATTGCTGGGTCATTGCTTACTGATAGGATACATGTGTCATCGGCATATGTGGTAATGACAGTGTTGGGACAGGTAGGGATGTCAGCTGTATAAACTGTGTAAAGGATAGGACCTAGGATACTACCTTGAGGAACACCGGCAGACTGAGTAAAAAGAGATGAATAAGAATTGTTATGATTGACTTTGAAGCATCTGTCAGTAAGGTAGGAACAGATAATGAGGAAGTATGTTGGTGGTAGGAATTTACGGAGTTTGTACATCAGTCCCGGATGCCAGACTCTATCAAATGCCTGTTCAACGTCGAGAAAGACTCCCGTGCAGTACATTCCGCGCTCCAATGCAGAGGAGACTACATCTACCACACGATGGCATTGCTGAATAGTGGAGTGGGATGTGCAGAATCCAAATTGGTGATCTGGACTAATGTGTTTAGAGTCTAGGATGGGATACAGGCGGGTCTAAAGTAATATTAAATAAAATGCATATAAAATATTTGTGTTTTCTGTGTTCTTCCATTATTCCTAACATCATAATTATTAATAAATCCTTTGTCTATTAATTTGGGGAGTGGGGTAGCTCAGTGGTAGGGTACTGAGCTTCCAATGCTAAAGAGTCCAGGTTCCATCCCGACTCATGGCAGAAAAATTATTTATTCTGATTCATTGGCCGTGATGCGACCCTTAGTAGGTACCCTTCTTGGGCACACCCAGCCTCTATAAAGTGGGTACTCTTAATTAATAAAATTAATTAAGGAGAAAAACCTGGCGGTTGAGCGTGATCTCGGTCAAATCACCTCCGTACGCAACTGTAGACCAAGAAACAGTGCTTTTCCTATATAGTACTGTACCAAAGACCCTTCATGGGTTGTCATGGTACAGGTTTTTTTTTTCTTTTTATCTATTAATTGATAATTTATCTTCTCAATGAAGTACCATAATTAAAGATTACTTCTGGTGCTTGTTCATCTATTTTAGTCATATAATTATCTAAGATTTTAGATTTATAAATTAATCTGAAGATTTTATTAATTTTATTAAAATGTTATTTTTATCTTTGTAAAACAAGACTTGTATTAGAAATTGTGATTTTAGGCTTATATTTTCACAATCAACAGGAATTCCTAGTTTAACTATAAAACTTGATAAAACAATCCACAGAGTGGAAAATGGTCCTTTGAGATGGCAACACAGATTTTTCAAAAATTAATTTCTTTAAAAGATAATTGGTTGCAATCAGTTTTTTGTGATTAGTTCATATGCTTGATCATATATTATATTAAATTTCTCCTCCAACTTTTCTCACAGGTCAATTAAAAAATAAAATAAGATTAGCTTTGTTGATTTACTTCACTTTTGTTTTTATTATTTTGGTTTTAGAAGACATGTTGGTGCAGTGGCAAGGTGGCATATCTAAAAATGTTTTAAATTGTAAATATAAGGTTTGTAATTGTTGCAGATGTAAGGTAGCTGATTTTCTATTTGAATTGGACATATGTCAAATTCCGTCTCCCTCACTTATGCTATTATTATTTAAAAAATATCTATCATAAACTCTTAGGTATAGCAAAATTTGCAGATACACTGCTCTGGTATTGGACTGAAGATTGTCTATTTAAATAGAGGAAGGATTGGAAATTTCTTGGAAACAAAACTAAAGAAATATTATTTATTAATTAATTTAACATAATACAGTTATAAATTTGTACAATACGCGTGTCACTAGAATGTGTAAACTAAACTTCATCTGATACAATGAAGTTCCTTTATTCATATTGTAAGGCAAGCAGCTTCTAGACTAAATATTCGAGTTTTCCTTAGATGCCTCAGGTTATGCACAATATTATTCTCTGTATTTGTGTAAGTTCGTACACATACATGAAATATTTTTTAAATCTGTCAGTAAATGATTGTACCACATTGTGCATTATATCAAACCTGGATATAGTTCTAATATAATTGTAATTATTATTTATTTACAGAGCCATCATCCTTCCTAGCTCATTACCTATAATTAACAATAAGTTTGTTATGAATCAAGCTTTTGATGTGGTGCAAAAAAAATTTTTTAATCCATAATAAATTATTCTCTATCGAATACAAAAATTACATGATGGCTTGAAAAATTGATACTATACAAATAAAATATATACAAAACAATAAATTCTTTACAAATAATAGCAATTTCATGTATTTTTACTACATTTTTTAGTTGTGATCAACACAAAATAAAGATACTTGTAATAAATTATTTAATATTTTTACAATCCAAGTTGACAATATTTATTTGTATATAAAAATTTATAAATCTTTTTGATTTTTAAATCATTCACAGATATATATGCACATCAATATAGTTTTTGACATATATTTTCAAAAATATAAAATATTTATCGTTAGTTAAAACAATTCAATTTAAATTTATAAAACCACAAATGATCTTATCATTTCAATCAATTCAATTGAAATTATAACTTCATTGCTTGTATGTGTGTTCAATAAATATGTTACTCAACGTTACTATAAAATGTTTTCTATATATATATTTTTTTTTTCACTGTTTAAGAAATAATTAATTGTCAAATACAATTATGTTTATTAAACTGTAAGACCAGGTAGTTTGTCTATTGAATAATTACTTATTAGGTGTGCCTACTAATTGTATATTAAATTACCATGCAATAAGAAACCTTACTCGTCTAACATATTCATTAGCATGAATGTGATTTTCCAAAGTTGATAACAGATAAAAAATGAGGTTAAAATAAGTATTTAAGATTATAATGTAATCACAATTTAATTATTTCTTCACAGTTATATCGAGGAAATAAAATGAATTTAAAAAAATAAATGGAGTAAAAAGCTATTAAAATATTCTTTTCAAACTTCTTTCAAAGTTATTTTACTTTTTATTTAACAAAATATGTATCCCTTAAGTTAAAAATAAACAAAAACTATTAGTAGTGTTGCCAATTGTTTAAAAAATAAAAAAAATTAATAAATGAAAAGTAGGTTGAATTTTTACATAAAATATTTGATTTAACCACAATATTATAAAAAAATAATATGTAAAAAAAAAATTACAAAATAAATTAAGTAAAAAGTTAACAAAAAGTATTATTGAAAAATATTTGAATCCTATATTGCGAAGTTTTCTTTCTTTTTATAAGAATTTTTTTAAAGTCTAAACAAAAAGTCAACTCTACTCCGTCTCTTAACATTTCAATAAATAATAGTTGGTGTCCTTATAAAGATAAATACTAAGCTATAAAAAAAAAATTGAAAATATGCAATTTGGCATTATGCATCAAACAGATTGTTCAGTACATACAAAATAAATGAGTGCATTGAAGTGGAACATATAACTACATTTGATAGATGGTAAGGGACAAGGAAGCTTAAAACTTTAAAGAATTATTACAAAAACAGATTAATATGTGACTTCCCGATTCTGTAGACTTGTTATGATCACTTAGACACTGAAAAAATAAGATTTAAGGAGGATGGTATTAGCGAATAAAACTCAACCTTGAATCTGATTTTTATTTTTATTTTTGTTATGTAAAGATTTCTGAATGTTTTGGTGGTGATATCAAGCCCTGCTATTCCTCAAAACAGAATGTGGATTAGGAACACGATTAATATATATGTAAAGTAAAATTACTATCGATATCTATTGTACTAAAATAAACATAGAAATTTTCAATAATTTAAATTAATTATCTTTATTTTTGCTATACATGGATATTTAATTTTAAAAAAAGAAAAAGAAAAATACTTATTAATATTGACCATCAATAAATATTAATGTTTTGACTATTGAACTTATTAACTAATGAAAATTAATTTTGTAGGCCTAAAAACGGTATTTTTAAAATTGTGATATTTAAAATATTTACTTGATACCCTAATTTTTTTTTAGTTTAATTAAACTGTTTTTTCTTTAACTTTACTTCAAAATATTTTTATGAAAAGAAAGATGTTTCATTTTTATTTATAAGTTGGCATCAAATCAATGTACAAATTTTCTAAATTAATTTTGATAAAAATCTTAAAAGAGATAGAGTATTCTCTCTCATTTTATGTTAAATAAAAATTTTAAAAAAGTTTATACGATCCAACCGCGGATATAATCTGAAACATCTTGCACAAACTCAGTGCCATTACTTTTAAAATAATAAAAATTTAATATACACCATATAGCAGATGAGATTCAACTTCTGGACGACATCCCTGTTCTTCTCAATGTGCCAACTAATTCTAAATAATATAAATTCATCTAAAAAAAAATAAAAATAAAATGAAAGTTGTTCAGCCATTGTCCACGGACACCAAACAAACTTAAAATATAACAATAAAACTGAGCATAGAAGGAAGGAATAAAAACTCTTCGAATAATCCAACCTCCATCACACTGCCCATCCACAAGTTTATTCTCTAAGGTAAGGACAATACTGACGTTGCTAGTGGAGTTAGCTTCCTCCACTTTCATCCTAATGTTACCGACCCTCTTCTTTACTGAAGGCTTTATTTGTGTAAGCGCCTCCGTTGGCACCTTGGTAGTTATTAGTAATTGAGATTGCTGTTGTCATTGGCATTTTTTCTTTACTACTGTCGTTTGATAGTATATCTTTCTTTGAAGACTTCTTATTAGATTCTTTTCCATCACTTTTTGTATCGTTGCGCTTGTCTATTTCTTTCCCCTTATCGTCTTTCTGTTGTAAGAAAAAAAAATGAATTAAGTAAAATGCTAAATAGTGTTTAGTTGAATGCTATTATTAGTTTGAACACATCCTGTTATTAGTTAGAACATATTGTCGGCACCACGTTAAAATAAAATTTTTCAATTATGTTTGTTTACCGTAGTACTCCATTCCTACCTTGAGACAATATGTTGAATCTGAATGGCAACTGAAAAACCGGAATCAGTAATGTCATTTTTATGAATTTATAGCTTTCTTAGGTGTATACATATTGCAGTAACGAATAATCATAATTGAACAAATACACAATTGTTACTTTAACAAGGTGCCGAAGATATGTACAAATAGTTAAAATATTTGTAGTCAAATTCATAGATAAACATAATTTTGAATAGTTTTCAATTAAATATAAAGGACTATAATTATTCTTTTTTCATCAATGTATGAGATAAAAACATTGTCGATACAGTATTTCTTTTTTTTATTCTATCAACCTTTTTTTTTTATATTAATTATTATTATGTATATCTAATCAGGTCCTGTGAGAGGGAGGGAAGGCAGCCAGTGGTGGCCTGATCTGTAGGCTTTTTTGTTAACTTCTAAAGTTATGTAAAAATATAACATAAAGAACATTACATAGGTTAATAATAATAATAATAATAAGGCTTAGCGAACCCGAAGGTTCGATGCCGACACCACCAATCGCTTGTTACACACCTCCCTCCACCGTTCGCCGTCCAAACCCAGTCCCTTCAGATCGGCTTTAATGCAATCTTCCCACCTTCGCTTCGGTCTACCCCTCGGACGCTTACCATTCGGCACAGCAAATATTAACCTTTTAGGAATTCTCTCGTTACTAAGCCCAACAACTTTACAAGCCCATTTGATTCGCCGCGATGAAATTACTTCAATTATATTACCCGGATACAGCTCACGCAATTCGGCGTTGTGTAACCGTCTGAACTCTCCGGTTAACTCATCCTTCTTCGGTCCGAATATTCTACGCAATACTTTATTTTCAAAAACCTTAAGACGCTGCTCATCCCTTAATCTAAGCGGCCAAGTTTCGCATCCATAAAGAACTGTAGGCAAGATAATTGTTTTATAGATTCTAATTTTTAAGTTTCGGGACAAGAGGCGCGAACTAAGTAGTTTTGTCACAGAAAAATAACAAGCATTTCCCGCCTTCAGTCTAACTTTAATCTCTTCTTCAATTTCGTTTTTTCTAGTTATCGTAGAACCTAGATACCTAAATTTATCTACCTGTTCAAACATATTACCATCTATATCGATATCACCAGTAGTATCGCCATTTTTGCAGCTAACCATATATTTTGTTTTATCCACGTTTATTTCGAGTCCTAGTTCTTTACCGGCTTTCATTAACGTTGTCGTATTTAGTTTTATAGTTTCAACGTCTTCGCTTAACAGTACCAGATCATCAGCATACCCCAGCACGGATGTTGTCCCGCCCAGATCCAACCCATTCTCGGTTCGCTTTACCTCCATAATGGCATGTTCTAATGCCAAAGTGAACAGGACAGGCGAAAGAGAATCCCCCTGTTTTAAGCCCGAACGAACCTCAAATTTTTCGGACAAATTATTACCGATTCTAACTTTATTGAGTGTCTCCGTCAAGCACATCCTGACTAGATTTACTAGTTTTTTTTGGAATCCCCTGCTCGATTAGAATATTATACAGTTTCTGGCGGTCAATAGAATCGTAAGCCTTTTTAAAATCTATACAACGGTGAACAATACCGTTATACTCCAATTTTTCTCTAATATTTGCCGTAAAGAAAATATTTGATCAATTGTCGAACGATTCCGTCTAAATCCGCATTGGTAGTCCCCGACAATTTCCTCGGCGTATTTCGTGATTCGACTGGTTAGGATTGAAGTGAATATTTTATAACATACCGGAAGGAGTGAAATTCCTCGATAGTTATTACAATCCGTCCTCGCACCCTTTTTGTGAATCGGAATAAGAATAGATTCTTTCCATTCTTCAGGTAATTTCTCGTTCACCCAGATCTTGTTAACCAACCCATGTATTTTAGAAACTCCGGCTTCCCCGCATGCCTTAATTAGTTCTGTAGGAATATTATCGGTTCCCGCTGCTTTATAAGATTTTAATTTTCCGATAGCTACTTCAACTTCCTCTTTACTTGGTCCTTCTATTAATGGTTCAGCACTCTGGTACTCAGAAGGAGGACACAGATCACAATTTCCCGCATTTAAAATATTGTCAAAGTGGTCCTTAAACTTATTCATTACATTATTTTATTACATAGGTTATATTAATTATTAAATACATATATCATTTTGTTACAAAATATTTTTGTTAGGTTGGTTTTAATACTATTCATATCAAATTTAGTACCTGAGGTTGGCAAAATGTAATTTATAACTGTATTTTCTTTTTAAAATACAAAATACAAAAATTTAATTCCAAAATACTAAAATACAAAGATTTATTTCCAAAATACAAAAATGTATTTTCAAAATACTAAAATACAAAAATATATTTTATTTTGTACATAAAATAAATTACCAAATAGAGTAGGATCTCTGTATTATATACTGATTGTCCACCGAAAGTATTTTATATTAGTAATTTTTATTATTATTAATTTATATTATTATTAAATAATTTATGTTTTCTATTATACTAAAAGTATTTTGTATTTAAAATAAGTTTTCTGAAAACTATGTAAATACTTTGTTATTAAAATACACTGTATTTTAAAAACCACAAAATACATGATATTTTAAATACTTTATTTTAAAATAATAATTAAAATACTTTTTGCCCACGTCTGATATGTAATAATTCACAAATTTATAATTATTATTAAAAAGCAATATTTTTTAAAATTGTTGAGACCGACATCCTTAATGATTCGATAAGCTTATATAACTATAAACAAGATTGTGATAAAACAGAAAACATTACCTCATCCATTGATGATTCAGCATGGTGAACAATATAGAACCTGTTGAATAAGAAGTATAAGCAGCCGGTGAGTAAGGTGACTGCAGAAAATATCTGATAAGTTGGTCTTGTACCAACAGCTTCCATCAAGTAACCACCAATTAAACTTCCTGCCCCCTTTCCTAATAATCCAATGAAAGTTCAATTAATCGGGTATAAAATTTTCTAAATAGTCAATTTATTTCATGAAATGAAAGTTGACTCAATGCAAATGTTAAATTAAAATGGTTATTAACTTGTATAAATCATAACAAAATGCCTTTATATCGATAAATTTATTTATGTAAATCATGAATTTGTTTTTATAAATAGATAACTTTTTATTTTCAGAAATATTGATATTTTATCAGAAATCTTTAAAGATTTTTTTCATTGTTAAACGTAAATGATTTTTTATCAACATAAGAGTCATTAAATAGTTGATCAATTTATTAAATTTCATTTACTTACCTACTCCAAAGTAGATACCACCCAGCAGACCTTGAACACTGGAATCAGTAGTCATAGTAGATAGTTTGGCTGCATAAGTTACAGCAGCCGTGAAAGACAGTGATGATGTAACAGATTCCATTGCCTCAAATATCAAGCACATCCAAGGATTGTAAATTAAAGAATAACCTGAGAAAATAATTTTCCTTATTAATATATATTATGGAGTAAAATTTTATGAGGTTAATATTGAGAATGTTCTGAAAAGTTTTAAAGTTAAACCCTACATATAAGATTTTAAGACAATACAAGCTAGTTGGTCAAGTCATGAAGTCTTAGATTCAATCTAAACAAAGACAATTATTCCATGTTTAAAGTATTATATATTTTTTTAAAAATGCAGTTTTGATTAGTGCATTAGTGATAGTTTAAATAAAAAGCTGTCCGTTATAGTCAAGCTATACATTGTAGATTTGTAAAATTGCACTTATTTCATGTTTGATTAATAATTTCTGAGTCCAAAACTAATTAGAACAAAAACAGCTGTAAAACTACATTATCTATTATCAGAAAGCTGTGAAGTGTTTCTTCAAGAATATTATGAAATGTATAATTGATTCTTATGGAATCTCTCCAAGTAAAGTGAAATATCAATGTTAGAAAGGATATCTGTTACTGAATTATTTTGCTAAACCTAAATCTGTACCACTACAACCCATGAAGGGTCTGATATCACACTCAACCGCCAGGTTTTTCCCTTAATTATTTTTCAATTAATTAGTTATTAATTATTTTAAATTTATTTAAAATATTTAATTATTTTTCAATTAAGGGTACCCACTTTTTAGAGGCTGGGTGTGCCCCAGGAGAGTCTCCTGACACTAGGGTCGATCCACGGGTGATGGAAAATTACTAGTCCTTAAGCTGGGTTCGAACCTAGGACCTTGAGCTCTGGAAGCCAGTGCTCACTCACTGAGCTACCCCGCTCCAAATTACTTTACTAGATTGTTACGATTATAGGTGATAAATAGTCAAGACCCAGTTTTCAATGAGTACTTGAACACCTTTGATGTTCGAAAAATGCCTTGATAATGACCCACGTGCTTGGGTTGAAACGTCGGCACCAATAAAAACGTTATAAATGACTGCAGCCTGACTATTTATCACCTATGATATGTAGAATAGTCCACTAACTTCCTTCAATAGATTGTACAAAAAAGACTTTTGCACAAATATAGCTTCATTAATATTACCTATTTTGAACATTATTGAATACTGCTTCAATGTAAAATCCATCGTTTTCAACTACTTTCATCCATCTTTTTGCCAGTAATTGAATTAGATGACAGTATCACTCCTTTGGTTTTGAAACAAAGAAGTCTTTACATCCAATTTTTTAGGTATTTTTAAAATATTCACATTTTGTCACTTTTGATAATTTTTTTCTCCTGAATCTGTCATCTTTCATATTTTGAAGCGAAATACCAACTCGCTGCTGTCCTTGGGCGTCTGTCTAGTGATGTAGGTTAGATCTTGGTCTTCAATTCTGTAAACCCAAGTTTTTAAGATGACAAACCACTGTGGCATTAAAAGCTCCTACGAGTCACAAGTAGTTGCTTATGGATCCTGGTTGACAAATTAAAGAAGAAGTTCATCATCAATGAATGATCTGGTTTAACTGCAAGGCTCATATTCACATTGTTCAAATCCTGAACCAAAATACAGCAGTACTTTAATCGATAATTAAATCTCCTTCCATGTCAAAAATTTCTTTGGCAGCTATCTTTGTGCTTAGACCTTTTTTTCAGTAATCTCTCTAAAGACCACGAGTAACAATTTTATTTTTTTTCTGGCATTGTATGTGTGTTTTAAAAATGTAAATGACCCTATGAGGCCAACTCAAGTCACAAGTAATTAAAGGATAAAAGTATGGAAACATTGACATAAATAGTAGGAACAAAATCATTCTTATAGGATAGATTATGAGAGTTGGAATTAAGGGTTGTGTTCATACTAGAATAATGGGGTTAAGGAAAAAACGATGCATTAAAAGTGCTAAAAAAGATTTACCTAATAATCTGATAGCATAGAAAACAAATCCAATGAAGAGTACATTAGCATGTCCAATCCTAGCAATGATTGGTCCAGACATAACAAGAAGAGGAAGACCAGCAATGCCGCCAACTGTGATTGTAATTCCCATCAGTGAACGTGAAGCACCTAAATCTTGTAGCAACCAAAATAAGAAACTTTCTATATAGCCCCAGGCCGTACCTAGAAAAAATATTGTATGATCAATCATCCTTATAGTAATGGTACTGAGAAAGTTATGATTTCTTCAATTATGATATGGAATTTTACGTTATTAGTTATATGCTTTGCATAATAATTTAAGGATATAATGATTACCTAATATAAAACATGTTATGAAAAGAGCAATGATTTCAATTTTCCTCAGGACTGTAAGAACATCAGCAAAAACATTTGTGGCAGGTGCTTTGAACTCAAGATTTATAGTCAACATCAACATTGCACTTAAAATCTTGAGACCAGCATAAAGGTAGAATGCAGGCCTAAAAATAATTTCAATAATTATAAACTTTAAAAATTAGAAATAGCGTTAAATATTTTAAGAGAAACAGTTAAGTAATATCTCCTAAAATACAGGTTAAGGGAAAAGATAAGTTTTGTTTAGAAAAGTTACTTAATTGATTATTTTCCTTAATAGTTGAGCATTAATGTGTATATTATAGAAAATTCGTGTTGATCATTTGGCTTCACTTCTCATTAAAATAATGAAGTGTTGGTTGCACCTCACATTTGACTACTATGGCCTCAACAACAATTTTAATTCAAGACCTTATCATAATAACCACAACCTGAGAATAATGATAGTCTATTGGCTATTTGCAAGTGTGAACATAATTTCTGAAATAATGTAAATTATATTTTGAGTATCTATCCCTGTTATCTAAAAGTAATTCAAATAATTTGTTTTACTATATTACCTGAAATCTGTATACTGCTTGTTTTGACTTGCATAATCAATCAACCATCCTGATAATGGTGAACTCATCATTCCACCAATAGTTGCATATATACGTTGAAGCCCATAATCTGCCTTATGCTCACGTAGGATTGCTATAACTGCCCCTTAAAAAAAAAAAAAAAACAGAAAAATAAAGCATATTATAACCCAGCACATTATCATTATTAGGAACAAAACAAAAAACAACTACTGCAGCCTATGAAGGATTTTAGGTACAGAATAGTTAATATGAGGTCTGTTAATAACAATGTTTACACTAATAGATGAAATATATTAGTCACAACTGCCGATTTATGTCTTACCCACATTAAAAGGTCAGATTTAATTAATTAATAACTGTTATAATTTGGATAAGGCCCCAATTATCCCCAAAATAATATAACTACCTATTATTAGCTACCTATAATCAGTGCCGGCCTTAGAGTGGGGCAACTGGGCCAATCGTTCAGGAGCCCAGAACTAGAGGGGCACCCATTTAGGGTGCCGATCATCAGGGGCACTCACCACTTGTTAAGAATTTAAAAAGTATATATTCAAAACGTTGTAAGATAATTAATTTTAGTCTCTTGATAAAGCAACTGTATTAGAGAAATGTTGAATCTTTACAAAGCCATCATGCTTCTATCATTGATTATTATTTGCATACTTTTGTTGTAGCTAATAAATATGTTATAAGTTATTCAATTTTTTATTTTTTTGATTGATATTCAATCATTATTCAAAGTGACATGGTAACAGATTGCTTATGACATTTTTTCAGAAAACAACTTAAAATAACAAATATCTATAGAATACCTTCAAACATAGCAAATGCAGTTCCTGAGATCATGCTTATGAAGACTCTAATGGACAAGTAGAGCCAGAATGTAAGACTGATGTCAAATTCATTGACTGCCGACAGAGTAGTGCAGAGCTCTTTCCGAGGCATAGTTGCCAAACATTGACTGTAGCATGGCCCAAGTGTTAGAACAGAGTCCACTTCAAGGGCATTCTCAACATTTGGTAATGGAACATCAACTCTAATTACACCTTCCTAATAAATAAATAAACATTATTATTTGTCAATTTTATGGCAGAGTTCGTTTTTCTGAAACAGCCCATATATTTCTATGCTAACTCAAACTATGCTTTGGCCCTGGCAAAGGAAATTTTTTATGTCCACTTTTTGCACATATATATGTATGTGATAATAAGCTAGGTTTATTAATTGCTATTTATTACTTGTTTATCAATAAAAAAATTTAATTCTTGAGTTTATGAAATATGTCAAATAATACTGTAGAAGATAGATTTCAAGAAGTTTTCTGAAGAAGCATTTTGAAAAATAACAAAAAATAAAAATTAAAAGCCTTTTTAATGAAATAAATTTAAAATAAAATTTTGATCCTTAAAAATTAGCATTATCTTGTTTTCATAATGATAAAATAATAACAGATAGAGAACTGTAAATACTAGAATGACCAAAAATCAGGTTTCGAACTTTTAATGTTTTAGATTATCATTATTTTAAAAACGAGTCAAGAAATTAAGGCACATTTTTCACCTATGAAGATTTTTTTTTATTTGTCAAGATATAATTTTTAACATTAGTAATATAACAGTTTTATGTTTATTTTTATTTATTTATGCTGCATACTGAAGTCATTACAGCTTAAAATATTCAGTCTGCTATATTACAATTAAAACATACAGTTAATTAATTATAACTTACAATTGATGGTGATCCAGTTACATTGAAGAGTGTCCTTGAATTGTTGTACATCATCTTATTCAGGATGATGCTGTTGTAATCTTTATAGAATGCTGCCCTTAGCTTATAGGTAGAGGGTTTGACAAGACTGCCAGGACTTTTTGAAGATTGAAGGATCTTACAACTCAGTTCTCCCTCGCCATCTTCTTTGCATGTGAGTTGATAAAGACCAGAAGTAGGGAAAAAGAATTTATCATCTTTCAACTTCCTAACAGATGTTGGGTAATGCCCAGGGTTTTGCAGCAGTCTAGAATTTCTGATGTCATCATCTTTTCCTTTGTTTTCCCTTTAAAGTTACTTACATATATTTATATAAAATTGAAATTTATACTTTCATATAAGTTCTGAATTGAATTAAAACCAAAAATAAATAATTCAATGTAAACAGATAATTGTTAATAATAACCTATTTTTTTTTATTTATTTTAAAAATCATTAATGAATATGATTCATTAAATTTTTAATTCGTAAAATTTAATAATTAATTTTCTATGAATCGGGTTTGCAATTGAGAACAAATCATAAATTGAATGTAAAAATTCTAGCTAAAGAAATCAAACAATTGTACAAATATTTCTGACTTCCTCCAATTTCATGAAAAATGTTTTACTTAATTACGTTATACAATGCATGAAAGAATTTATAAAACAACAGATGCAACAGATAAGATATTTAATTTCACATGATGGATAAATTAGAAATCATTCATTAATGTTATTTTGCTAAGTAACTGTGGCTGGGTTAATTGGTAGATCAAATTTCAGTTTGATATTATTAATAAAAAATTATTTTGTAAAATTAACTTAATTTAATATTTATTTTTATTATCCTTGTATGTTTTATGTTGGTGTTTCAGAGAATATTTTTGTCATCATCAGAGTATTTTTTCATGAATTTTAATCATTCACCATTATTCTTGAGGGTCCCGTTGTCATAAAACATTGATTGGTTTATTGTCTAATCTACCATTCAATAGATTAGCTCCTGACTATGTAAAATAAAAGATAATGTAGCAGCCAATATTTTATATTGGCTGTGGAAAATGTTCTAATGATGAAAGAAAACATTTTCAGAAAGATCAACATTAAATGTTCTACTTAGATAATTAAACGAAATTCAAGGGAACTTAAATTTGCCAGATAAAACTATTGACAATTTAAATTCCCATATTAAATAAAATAAGAAGTTGTTTCTCTCTCTTTCGTTTATATATATACCTTATATATATCAATTGGTTTGTGATCCAAAATAGAAAAAAAAAATTATATGTCCATAATGGCACAGTACTCTAGAAAATTACAATGGTACTGTATAAACTGTAAAGGTATAATGAATTTATAAAAAGTTTTATATAAATCTTTGAAATTATTTTTCCTTTTTATCTTTTAAAATCATTTTTAAAGAATTAAATTTGAGTCATAGAGTTCAAAGAAAGGGAAGTCTTATAGAAATTTTAAGTACCTAAATTGAATATTTAAAAATAATTTAATGTTTTCTTATAAAAACACCATTTTCCAGGAACTTAAAAAAAGGTTTTAATTTCAAAAACTTCACGTTTTCACATTCACATTCTTAAAAATTATGCTGATATGATATATAAATTACTAACTTAGCTCATTTTGAATAATTACCTGAAATTATTTCTATATTTTTTTAAAATTTTATCAGCATTATGTGTTGTTGTTTTTTAAATTTTGTAAATGCTAAACCAATCTTACTTGTAAAGTGGAAGATCTCTTGCAGTGAGTGAATAAGAGTATGTGGCTCCTCCAGGAGGTGAAACAGTATAGCTCCTTGCCCTGAGGATCGCTGCTTCCTCTTCAGCTGGAGTTTGAGGTCCCCGAGTCTGTGAAATATGTATAACTACTTTAAACAATGCATATCTCATATTATATAAATATTCATATATAATTAATAAACATTCATATATAATTCATATCTCATATATAAATATATTATAAATAATTAATTAACTTCAGCTATGTAATATTGTTAAAATAATTATATAATTATTTAATAATGAATGTGCATTTTATAAAAATACATTCATATTTTAATTTATTTATTTTATTAGGTTAGCATGATTTAGAAGCAGAAATTATTTAAAAAACTTAAATGGAAAAACAAAAGAACCTAGAAGAAAAATCTCGTGCTATAAACATAATAAACAAATATATATATTTGCTTAAAAGTGTTGAATTAATAATTCACACAGCATACTTATCCATTTATCAGATAATATTAAAAAATAGACTTGATAGACCGCATCTTTAGTTTGATGACTGAATAATTATCAAGTTTTAATGAGCTCGGTATGTTTTAAACTATCCAAAGAAAACTTAAAGCGTAACCAATATATTCAATTCTTTCTCCTTGTGGTATAAGAACAGAGAAGTTTTCTCTGCAACATTATCCAGATCAGGTAAGATCTAGTTATCTGTGGGGAAAATACTTCTCTTAAGTCAACTCTAATACGATCAAAAGTTTATCTCTGCTCTTTATAAATAATAACTGCAAACAATAACTGAAAGCTGTGCTAAAATTAGGGAATCGTTTTTCATTCCCAGAGCTGCTGTAATCAAACGGATGAGCTAAGAAAAAATGACCATATTTCACCTAGGATACATTTCCTGATTTAAATGAAGTTTAATTGAAAATTTTAGTGCTGCAATTAGTTGGGATTATGTAGCGATCAAACATAAATACACACACACACACACACACACACACACACACACACACACACACACACACACACACACACACACACACACACACACACACACACACACACACACACACACACACACACAAACACACACACACACACACACACACACACACATATATATTTTATATATATATATATATATATATATATATATATATATATATATATATATATATATATATATATATTAAAAAAAATTTAAATAGATGAATTATACAGAAAAACTTACATATTTGGTTATATAAGAATTATATGTTAATATAACGAAGAATATTTGTTAATATATCTTTCACTAATAAGCTCTTATTAAGATAAGGTGTTAAGACAAAGCATACAGTTTTTCATTTCTATAATTTTCTAGCATTGGCTAAAAACTTATATACCAAGTAGTATAACTTACGTAAGGAGTAAATGCTTTCTTTGGTCTTTCACACACCAAACCACAAGCTTCAATCTGGATATCTCGTGGAATGGTGACATTATCCATAAACTGACAGGGATATGGCTCTCCCAATTCTACATGAATAAGACCTACAAACAAAAGAGAATTATATCAGTAATAAATTTATAATGGTAAATATAAATGAACTTGCCTTGTTCAGACATCATATGAAATGCTTTCTATGTTTCAAATTAATGTAGTTTTTAACGTTACATAGTTTAAATTATATGTATAAATTATATATAAGCATTATCTAGTAACCTAAAATCCATAAAATACAAAAAAAAAAAAAAAAAAAAAAAAAAAAAAAAAACAGATACCAGTTTAGATAGTATCTTCAAACATTACCAGATAATTCTTAATTTTTATTATTTCTTCATGTTAATTGATTCAGGTACTTACACAAAAATATTTAATCCCTGGTTGCTTAATTATAATAAAAAGTGACTGATTTTGAGAGTCAGTTGTCTCAAATAAGGTTAATTTTCTTCTTCTTCTTTTACCATCTTCTTAGTGCTATCAACGAGGAAAAGGAGGATCAGCCTCGCCCCATCTCATCCACTGATCCAGTCACAATACACCAGCCTGCGCCTGCCTCTAGATCACAATCCCTCTGGTTTTGCTTCTAGGAACCATTTTGTCTTTCGGTTATCACCCTTCCAGTACAAATGGCACAACCACTTCAGTTGATGCTCCTCCATGACTTGTTTTACAGACCTTATGTTCAGTTCTTCTCTTATCCTCTCGTTCCTCCAGCGGTCTCTTCATGTTTTCTTAAGAACCCTACTGAGGTATCTCATTTCTGTGACTGTAACTTTACTTGCATGTTTGTCCAGGACCGTCCAACTCTCTGCACCATACAAAATTAAAGGCAGAAATACTGTTTTAAACAAAGTTATTTTTGTTTTCTTCTATTGCTCCTGTTACCCTAATATTGTAGTGCAGATAGAGTAAAACACACCATTGGCCTTATTGACTCTATTTAAAACTTCCTGGTCGATCCTTAAAAGGTTAATTTTATCGTATTTAATTACTGTTAAATAGTTATGAATAGTGATACAACAGAAAGAACTAAAAGACAGAGAAGTGAGGAATCCACTCCCAAAAATAAGGCCGAGTCACCTCGGAAAAATGAGATAGAAGATTTTTATAATAAAAAACAAGCCAATAAGAAAATAAATAGTTCTTTGAAATTAAGAAGCAGCAGCCTGGAGAGATATTTCAAACAGGGCACAAATGAGGGTGACAAAATATTAGGAAGCTCTGGTTCTGTAACGAATTCTTAGCAGTTTATAGGCAACCAGGTTAATAAAATAGGTTATGACAATGGAAATTTCGACAGGATAATAAATAAAAAGGAAACTAAAAAATTATCACAGATGAAAAAATGGGATATAATCACCTATAATTGTAGAACACTAATGGCAGATTCTCAATTAACCGAGTTGAAAAACGAATGGGAAGTTATGAAATGGTCTCTTATTGGTCTGTCAGAAATGAGGAGATATGGTACAGGCAGTTTGGAGTACCAGGACGGTACAATAACGAAATGGAGGTACGGTCATTCAAAACCTACACTCATCGTATTTCTAGGCTGTTAATAGAGCTAAATAAAGACCAGTAGACGACACTTAAAATAATACAAGTTTATGCTCCCACTACAGATGCAGAAGAAAGTGAGATTGAAAATTTTTATTTGGATCTACAAATAGCAATAGATGAGGACAGATATAATCAATTAATATTAATTGGAGATTTTAATTCAAAAATAGGTAGTAAAGGTAACTCAAAATATATGGGTAAATTTAGAATAGGTGAATTGAATAATAGAGGAAAAAGACTAATTGAGTTTGTGGAAGCTAATGGTCTTTACATCATGAATAGCTTTTTTGAAAAAAATCCAAGTAACAAATGGACATGGCAGAGCCCAGATAGAAAGACAAAAAATGAAATAGACTTCATAATCGTTAAAAATAAGCAATTAGTGATCAATGTGGAAGTTTTAAACCACCCTGACATTGGCAGTGATCACAGACCAGTTGGGGCAATGTTGAATGAAAAGTTCACCATTGTAAAACATAAAAAAGAAAATAGGAGATCCAGTAAAGTTAAAACAGAAAACCTAATAAAGTGGAATTTTGAAAATAAGTTGAAATCAGTTTTGCCTAAGTTAGACCAAGAGATGACAACTTCAACCCAAATTACAGAAATAACAAACTCATTAAAAAAGATACTTGAACAGTTTAAGGAAGAGAATTCCAAGATAGACGGTAACTGTCGAAATCTCCCAAGAAAGATTAAAAATCTTCTAAACAAAAGAAGATATTAAAAAAAAAAGGATCAAGATATAACACAACTTAACAAATTAATCAGAAAGGAAATTGAGAACTGGCTGAGAGAAAGGAAAGTAGAAAAGATGGAGGAAGCCATTAGGACAGGAGGTAAACTAAAAGAGGTAGGGATCTCTAAAACAAAAATGACTGCTATTTTAAATGAAAATGGGCAAGAATTAAATGATAACCTGGAGATAAATAATAGAATAAAATAATATTATGAAAAACTATATTATGATAAAAGAAAATATAAAACTGCGGAGTGGAACATAGAAAACTGGGATCCAAAAGAAGAAATTATGATTGAAGAAGTATTAAGTGTAATAGATATTTGTAAGGAAGAAAAATCAGGAGGTGTTGATGGTCTGACAATTGCATACATAAAAGCTGGAGGAATGATAACAGCGCAGGCACTCACTCACTTATATAATACATGTCTTAAGAATGCAAGCTTTCCTGAAGAATGGGAAACTGCAAAGCTCATAATTCTGCCAAAGAAAGGAGATAAGAGAGATTTAAATAATTATCGCCCATTAAGCCTACTCTCAGTTTTATATAAAATATTTTCTTTATACTACTTAGAAGAATAGAAGACAAATTGGATATAGAATTAGAAAAACATCAAGCCGGGTTTAGGAAGAATTACTCTACTGTAGACCACATATTTGTGATTAAAGAGTTAATTAAGAAAGCTAATGACTATAATCTGTCAGTGAGCCTCCTTTTTCTGGATTACGAAAAAGCATTTGACTCTCTAAAAACCGATTCTATCATAAATATGCTGAAAAAGAGAAACATTAGTTCAAGAATATGCAAGATACTGGAAGATATCATCTGATTTATATTCGAGATCCAATGTAGAATATAAATCAGGAAATACAACAGTGAAAATAAAAATTAGAAAAGGTGTACGACAAGGTGATACCCTTTCTCCTAAAATATTTATATCAGTTCTCCATGATTTGATGCAAACTATGAATTGGCAGAACAAAGGAATGAAAATTTTTGGGGAGTGGCTGAACCATTTAGAGTTTGCTGATGATCAAGTCCTGATAGGTAAAAATATAGAAGAAATCCTAACAATGGCAAACCAATTAATAAAGGCTGGAGAAAACATAGGACTGAAAATAAATTATAAAAAATGCAATTATATGTCAGTGAACGTTGAGGGAGATATAAAAATAGGCGAACACCATATAGAGAAAGTAGATACATTTCTATATCTTGGGCACCTTATCTCAATCAAAGGACAAAATGAAGAAATAATCAGGCGATGTACCCAGGGTATATATAGATCCTCGGTGAGCTCAGAGGTAAAGAGAAAACTTTGGATGAGCACAGTACTTCCTGTCATGACATATGGTTGTGAAACATGGGCAATTGACCAGAAGACTTGCCATAAATTGAGGATAACCATCAGAGGAATGGAGCGATATCTTCTGGGGATAACTCGAAGGGATAGAAAAGCAAACAAATGGATCAGAGCTAAGACTGACCTTCCAGATATTGTGGAAAAAGTGTTCATCAGGAAGTGGACCTGGACCAGACATGTAATCAGGAGGAATGAATTAACATGGACCAGACAGTTTATGGATTGGTATCCAAGAGAGCATGTGAGGAAGAGAGGACACCTGCCGACCGACTGGGACAAGGAGATGAAGAAGACCTGCGGGGGAGCAGCCTGGAAGAGAGTAGCATTAGAGAGGAAAGAATGGAAAAGGATGCGACAGGTTCATTACCTAGTGTGGTTACAAGAAAGTTAAGTATAAAAAAAAAAAAAAAAAAAAAAAAAAAAAAAAAAAAAAAAAAAAAAAATAAAAAAGAAAAAAATAAAAAAAAAGTTACATTTTTTATTTAATGTTTTATGGATGGGATAATGTGACATGATCCAACAATTTGAAATCCTATATTGTATCATAAATGTTCTTTTTTAAAAGCATTGGTTCATTGCTTTAGAAGGTGAAGTCTGGCAGCTGCTACCAATTCTAACATGAAAAATAAAATAGGAGCAATCAATATCAAACAATAAATTTCTGCAAAAAATGACTGAGTGGGTTGTTGCTCATTTTTACATTGTGAAAGAATCTAATTACTAATAGAGACTAATCATCTTCTTAAATTAATTACCGCTGTTTATTAATCGGCCCCCTTTCGGTAAATTCAGTAAACAAAGCTTTCCAAACCATTCAAGCATACATATCGAGGCATTTATTTGAAAAGTGGCTTGCTGATGGATTTTCTTGAGCCAAATCTTCTGTCCATCAAAATCTTCTTGTCATGAGATATTGATTGACAAGTTTTTGTAAGCAGTTCTTTATTAATCCTTTTTTTCATGTATTAATGCTCTGATTTATGTGACAGCTCACTCCGTTTATCATGAGAAGGATTTTCCTTTCTAGATAGCTGTTTAGTGTGCATGCCTCGTAGCCGTTAATGTAAGAATAGGATTTGCCATAGCATTGTACGTCCTATATTTATGATTTTTAAGGAAATTTTCATGATTTCAATGCCTTTAAGAAAGAAAAAAGTTCTATTTGCGCTTTTTGTCGGCTGGTATATTTCTAACCATTGATCATTTCTTGAGCTTTTAATATTGAATTTTCTACTTATTTATAATTAAAAACATTAAACAAATATTTATTTTAATACTTTATGAACTTGAACTAAGAAAGGAAAAGCAAAAGAAGTACGGCGCTAGGGTATACCATACCAGCAATGAGATGGAAGTTGAAGAGGTTGTAATCGTTTACGTTATTACGTTAAGTAGGATGTTGGGCAAGTTTCTGAACTTAGCGCTAATCCATTGATAGTTTCAATCGATCGATTGAATCTAGCAACATTGGACAGCGGTTTATGCTACGTTTCCTGATGAGTTCGATTGAAAGATGAACTATCCGGAAAGGCAACAAAATTCATGAAAACTAAAGAAAAATATAAGGAAATAAGTAACAACTGAATTGTTAAATTACAAAACAGAAATAAATATAGATAACATTGAGGTTATAATGAGATTACATTCAGTGGATCCATCAACCTCAAAATCCGATAAAATCGCTTCGGTGATTCAATCAATGAATAAAGGAATGTTTTTTGTATCTAAAAACATATTTTATTCTAATTTTTAGTTTTTCGTCATTGTTTGTCAATAGATGGATCAAAAATCAACATGCGATTTTTTTTTCTAAATTGAAACAACAAATTCATTTGCATTTCTTTTTTCTATTAATTAAAAACCACATTTAACTCATTTTTGGATATTTTGTGGATTGTTTTTTCCTGCTATATGCAGTCCAACAAAAATTAAAATTAAATTAATCAATTAATAAATGCACAAAATAATAATAATAATAACAACTTGCACCATCAGAACCAATGAAGCGTATTGGGCTCAGTACTGTTACAGTAAGGAAGCACTGTTTCAAGGCGAACGGTCGTGCAGGGAGATGATCGGAACGAGATTTTACTCAATCGTCATGTTTTATTCTTGATTAACTATTTAATTAAGAATATTATAGAAGCTGAGTGTGCGCCAGGAGAGTTTCCCGGCAAACAGAATAAATAATTATCTGCCATCAGCCGGATTCGAACCCATGAACGAATGTGCAAAAGCAATATTCAAAGTAATATCACGAAATAAAAAAAACAACAAAGTACAAATAACTATTTATAAAGTTTACAATATTCAGAACAATACAAAAAAAAAAAAAAATCATTATATGGAAAAGTACATGGTTTAGTTTAACTTCTAAAAATTTGTTCGCAGATTTTCCTCTTTATTTTTATTTATGTATGCACCCTCCGAGGCATCTGAAAAGAAGATGGCCTCGAGATCTTCTTTTGTAAATACATTTTTAGAGTGCTACCAGTGGGTAGTTTCTCAACAAGTGATTTCATGCTATTATATTCTTTTGTTCACACTTACTGAATGTATTTTTACTTGTAATATAGTTGTAAATATCATCAATAAATAAAAAAAAAAATTATGTATGCAGAATAAATGATAGAGACAGAGATAGATAAATAACAATAATTCAAAGAAAACGGGTTTTTAAATTAATTATTAAAATACATAGTTATTAATACTTATGTGATTGAGCAATTTTAATACTGACTTGAATTAGTGCTAACTTGGAGGAGGGTCCTCGGTGGGTATGATATTGTGATTCTTCCGACAGGGACTAGAAGAAGAAGGAGCGAAGCTGCACCTCCTAGGCCGCTGAATAGGGCGAGAATCACCTGAGAAAGGAATTTTAAAAAATCCTCTTTAAAGTTGGAGAAATATACATTTTATTTTTTTTATATACTTATTTATTTAAAATAAGCAATTGAATGAGTATTAATCATAACCTGACTATTTTCATGTTAAATAAATATTACCTTGAAATTTCCTATTCGATCTGCGACTAAGCCTGCAATCGGAGGCATTATTATTGATACTATTGGAGTCACAGCGGACATGATGGCGGTCTCTTCGACGTTGATCCCAAGCTCTCGCATGTGGATGGTCAAGTAAGGATAGAGAACGTACATAGCTGTAAAATTACAGATTAAAATTACATTAATAGAAAATACCTAATTCATATTTAATTAATTATAAGTATGTTAATGATCAAGAAAAATATGTGTAAAAGTGAGATTTGAATCAGTTTTTAGCTATTATGATATAAATTTAGTTAAAAGAATGTTTTCTGTATCAGGCCAATTTACATGAAATATGTATTTTTTTTATTTATAAGTTATGTTTATTTTTGGCAAGATAAATTTGCTATCTACTGCTGTATTAAGCAAATATGGTGTCAATGAGTACAGAACAAAGCCAAAAGAAAAAAAAAAGAAACAAGCAAGAAACAATCTGAATATCGAAATTAGTTTTTAAAAAATATATTAATTAAAAAGATATATTAAATTGAACTGTAATATGTATAAAGATAAATATCGAAACCAGAGATTGAAAGAGTCATAAACTTTTTAAAATAAGCATGCTTTTAAAAGTTATTAAGAAAAAGTTCGCGCAATAAAAGTTACCCTTATACGTTTATGATATAATGTTTCCTTCAAAAAGTTCAAGATTCACCATAACTTTTTGTACAATTAAAATAAAAGAGTGAGTTAACAACAAATTTTTTCTCTTGTTTGGGATTATAAAGATTGTCATAATACGATATGAGTGAGTGATTTTTTACACATACACGCGTTTATTTTGATTATTTTAGTATGGTGATGACAACAATGAATTTTCAATTTTGGCATTTCCGAAATTACTTTTTTTTTTTGTCTCATTGTATACAAAAATATATTTTTGAAATTACTCGTTTTCCCCTAAAAATCTTTTATGAATTAGTTTCAGAATTATTTGTATAAAAGTTTTAAAATAACTTCATCAAAAATTTATTTTAATGAAAAAAGTCCAATTTCAATTAAAACTTAATGTATTTATATTAAACATTTAAGAAATAAAAGTTAACTGATATTTTCGACCTCTAATCGAAACAATACTAAAATACAAATTATTTCAAGATAACTGATAAAATATGTTGGAAATTAAGTAAATCAATAGGCAAGTAGTACTTGACAGTTACGAATCTACTATGACCATCATTCAAAGTCATGAGAAAAAATAGTTTCATTAAATTTGACCATGAGAAATGTTGTTCCTTGCAAAACTAGAAAATCGTTAATATTTTTTTGATGCTCAGCAAATTGTTTAATATGATTGAATATCTGTTTTTCTGGAATTGGATATCTGTTTGATTCGAATAGTAAGATGCCAGTGCCGATTAAATCGATTTATAATTGAATATTGGAGTTGGCTGATGGGATAGCATTAGCAATAGACGTCTTTTGAACCTTGAACCTCAGTGTGATTTGGGCCCGGAGATCAAGACAACACGCTTTTACACAATCTTTCAATAAAGATTGTACAATATTTTCTTAGTAATCGAGGAAAATAAATACATTTTTCACAACACGAGAAAAAAATTATTCCATAGAAAAAAGAATGATCTTCATATTTGAAGTTTATTTTCGCTAAAGGAATAATTTGTATCAGATACTTAGAAATTATGTGAAAAAGGTATTTTTAATTATTATTCATTCATAAAATCAATCAATCTTTACTGTTTGACGCTAATAAGAATTACCAATTCATCATACTTTATTATTATTAAATCATTTCATTGACTACTACTTGAGATATTCTTGAATCTAAGCACATTTCAAGACATAATATTAAAGTTCAAGACTGCTCACACGGTTCACAGTTCCTCATGAACAAGGAATAGATCCAAGGTCTGATCACAGGAAGTCCTGGGCTTAGTTCATCGAGTGATGCATTAAAGATTTACAAATGTAGAATAATAATATTTAATTACAGAATTATTTTACGCTTTCTGATGATTTTTTATAAAGTATGGAGGAATTAGTGAAATAAAAAAAATTAAATTATCTTCATGGTTGAAAGCACTCATAACGGTAAAACAATCAATGTGTTAGAAAGTTGAAAAATGTGAATCTGTTGTGTGATGTGCCTTTTTTATATTGGTGATATGTAAGTAGTGGTGTAGGTGGTATATAACGCTTCATACATTGGTAATATTGATAACTTAATCCACAATTGTTCTAAATCTTTTTTTCATGGTTTTGGGAACTTCCAAGCAATTATAGGAATTAATACTAGTTAACTATTTTTATGTCCACAGAACGTCAACATGAAAAACAAAAATGTCAAGAAGGTTCTTGATTTGATATCTGATTCAAAAATATATGAGCTCAAAAATAAGATAATAGTTTATTCCAATACACAACCGGAGGTGCCCATGACAATTTCCATGGGACATGTTGGGCCATCAGAACATTTGAGGGTAGCACATTTTCCGAAACAATAAATGTTTGAATCCTTGGGATAAATGGAGGGAGCGCGTTTTATAGCATTTTGAATTTTTGGAGGGAGTCACATTTTGGTGGGGTTTTAATTTAGGGAACTTTCAAACCAGAGAAAAATATCTATCATTCTCCTTTCAATTTGATTGTTTTTAAGAAGACGAGAGCAATTAAATTTCTTGGGCTGAGTGTTTGCGACATCGCCCCTGTGGAAAATGCTATCACCAAAGAGAAAGAATAAAAATAGATGTATTTACCTAATTCGAGTCACATATTACAAACTCACTAAACGAATATAGGGGAATTGTTGAAGCATATAATATAATACACAGCAACGTGGCATTTATTGTTTTCAATTATCAAATCAAGACAATAAGGGGAGACAATTTTAGTTGTAATGTACTAATGTTGGTGAATTGTTGTTTTTTTTTAATTTTTTTAACTAACAAATTGTGAAAAAAAAATTGTAAATATTACCGGCTCACAGGAAAGTACATTTATATGTCCAATGACAACTAAAATTTGAATAATAATTAAAGTAAATAAAACTGGTTGATAGAATCAATAAAATAATTTTAAAAAGTACTCACTTGAGGAATGCACGAAAAACAGCAACTTCAGAGGCAGGAGCTGCCGCTGCCTAAAGTCAGAGGAGATCCTGTTGAAGAAGTTGTCGATAAGGAACATTTTGATTTTGTTGATGTCAGTCCTCGAAGTTGATTTTCTCAATTGTTGAAGGCGGTGAAATCACCACGCTCTTGCTGACAGTGTCCCCATTACCTGCTAACAATTACCACAAAGTTGAGTTTAGTTGTTCTTCATAGGATGTGGAGTATGGTGAGAGGTTGCTAACTTTCGGATGGTTAACAGAAAACAGTTTGTTGCGCCAGAATGTTTGTTGTGAAACCGAAGTGAATAAAGGTTAGGAAAACCTAGTTTTAATGAACACATGTATAACTAATGAAGTAATATATGAACTATAGTATAGGTTCTAATTTAATATTTGCACACTGTCATTATTTATCATCATTACTATTGTTATGCTTAAACTGAGATAGAAACAGGAGTATTCCAAGCAGAAAATTTAGTATGATTTGTTAATATAATTTATATTGTATATTAATAAATTATATTGTAAGTCTTAGTCCTAACAGTAGAATCGTAAAAATGAGATACTTGACAAATTGGTAGGTAACATTAATTCAAAACTAGAAATAATTTTTTGTTTCAACTTCCAGAATTTATTTTCCGTTTCATAGACAAGATTTGTATTGTTTATTTAATGTGTCAGCTTCCCTGCCTTTCGGCAAAACGGGTTTAACAACTTTGGTACGTTATGCTGGCTTTGCTTGAACGTGTTAATGTTACTAATCTGTTTCTTAAAAATGTGCTGGTTTCTCCGTCCACTTTGGCTCATTACCGTCTTTTTCTTCTCCAGCAAAAATATTCTCAAGTCAGTCCCTATGAGCCTCCATAGTTCTTCATAAACAACGATATTGATGTACAAAAATGTGCAATAATGCCAACTATTTTTAGTTACTAGTAAGGTAAAGTCACCAATTATTAACACTTCAACGAAATGTTTCAGGTAATTTACATTGAATTATTTTATTAATTAACCTATCTGTATGTTTCAAAGTTTTTAATACTTTCCCAAGTACTCTGTACAGATTCCACTTATAAAATGGCCAAAATACTATAAAGTTTTCAAATTTTTGAGCTCAAAACCAATGACAAGTTTTTCACAGATTATTGGCATGCAAAAACCAATTTTCGACAGGCAAAGGAACCAGTTATTGACACCATGTTCGACCATCAACATAACAAAATATTTGTTATTTATAGGTACAACATTATCACACATTTGTATCTGAACACTTTAAAATTTATTATACATACCTAGATATCACAAAACGGTATGAGAAAATAAATTATATATTATAATAGGTAGGTTTGCTACATTTCAATAAATATTTAGAGAATAATGAAATAAAAGTCTTCGGTTTTTCTTTTTCCCAACATTATTATTATTTATTATAATTATTGAGAGACTTTAGTTTGGTAACTATGTTCCGCTCTTCGACTTCTCACGTTTCTCATCCTCATCAGGTTCTTCAGTCTGTTGTAAGCTCTGAGACGATTAGCAGCCACCTTTCCTTCTGAAACCCTGGAAATTCCACGAGCCATGGTTGTGTTTTCCTTTTGGCAACTATTGTGTCCAGGGATGCACATCCCACTGACATTTTATTGCTCGTCGTTTCTTAAAAACAGAGCAAAATTTGAAAAATCGTAGATCATATACAATTAGACTTGCTGCAGTCTTTCCTCTTGTCGTCCCTTAGTTCGAAAACTCATAATCCCATCGACATTCGCCCCCCTCAAAAATTTTGACCGCGAAACTTGCTCCATGAAACCCCCTTCTGGACACTCCTGATTTTGGCTGTGACGAAGTCACCTTTACTTATTTTCCGATCTATTTCTATATCTGCCGATATTTCGACTTGTCCCATGTTTTTCTGTTCCTGGCCTTCCTCAATATTCTTCTATTTATGTCCTCATTTCTTGCCCTTCTGTTCAAGTTCATATAATTCGCTTTGTGTCAATAATTGGGAAAACTTATCACTTTGAAGATCGAATTATTGACATTCCTAACACCTGTTGTTCCTGTTGTAAAGAAAAAGTGGTAACAAAATGTGTCAAAAGAATTGAAGCTCATAAACATTAAAAGAAAAGGTAAAAAAGGTGAAATTTTCGTAAAATTTGATAAAAACTTTCTTTGCGAATGCCGCAAGGTTCCGGCAAATGAGGTAAAGTGATAACAAAATTTGCGTTTCCCACCAAATTCATCACCCAACAGAGACTTCATCTTGCCGGCAATCGGTGGCTGATTGATATACTTTTGAAATGGTGCCAAGTTTGAAATCCTACATGAACTTAAACGCTTATTTTATCAAATTTAGGTAACGAGTGTCATTAATTAGTAACGTGTGAATAATTGGTGGCTTTACGCTAACTAATTTTTAAATTTATTAGTCAAATTAAAAACGTAGAGACTCCACTGCGTCGAGGTTCATCACTCCTAAAAGCGTATATAATGTAACGATGTAACAGAAGCTGTAGTGGACCTCCTCAATGTAGGTTAATCGATACATCTTAGAGTGCTATCGATCTATTCTTGTTGACAACTCGGTAAAACCTTCAAAACAGAATACATGTTTCTTTTAAGATTCTTGGTTTTTGCGGGTGATGAAATATATTAATAATCCATCGTTTAAATAGATAAATAACACATTTTAAAAGATTTTCAGCCTTAAAAGAAATTTGAGATGAAATAACGCCATTGCATCAAGATTTATTGTTGTTTATTTTTTTCACAGGAAAGTTTGTTGTCATGGTAAATGATGACTGGTCAGTATCCGACTCTGTGGTGTTGGTTTCATCCATTTTTAGGAGGGTGAATTTGGGGAGGAGATTAAAAAAAATGTCTACTTACCGCTCTAGACAATTGTGCCATCCTTTTCTATTAATTTCCTTATTTGTTTGAAGATAAATCAATTGAAAAGGCATTATGTTGTCAAAGTTTTATAGATAAAAATACAAAATTATTATGTCCAAACCATCTTACATTTAAAATGAAATTTATAATCATTTACATGTAAACATTGAAATTTGATTATGTATATGAATGGACTCCTTTTTATCATATCCATATGTAAAAATAATCATAAATAAATAGCGTACTTTTCACCCCTAAAATTTTTAAAACTTTTTAAAAGGATTTTTGCCCATATGAAATTATGATATTGCCCAATGCGTGACTTTCGACTCCCAAAAAGTATAACACATCATATATAAATTCTCAGAAGAGCTTAATCAAGGTAGGATTATCAGGTAAATCAGAGACTAAACAGTCTCCAAAAACAAATTTTTAGCTTAACTCAATCTTGATACTTTCATAGTCACATATCTGTCGCAATGATTTCAACTAATGAACAGAGTGTCTGTGCTGGATGGTGATCAGTGTGGTTTATTTAAGAATGTTGAATAAAAAAAGTATATATATACATATTATATGTATATACAAATTACAAATATCTAAAAAAAATTATCAACAGCGACAGGTTAGTTTTTCAACATTTTGAAAGAAAAAGAATTACGAAATAAATAATATTTCCCTCATCTATTAAAGGTTTGTACTCTTTCGATATCAAATCTGTAAGAAAGTAACGTAGTGAGAGGAAAACATGTTTGCTACCGGACATTAATTTTATTGAGACTTATTCATTTCATATTTTAATTCTTATATTTCTATAACTTTGTTGCATAAAACTATCAAAATTATATTTTTATTGGAGTTCAACTTTTAGGAAAGTTTTTATAAATTCCATACTTATTTATCGATGCATATATTATGAATATTTACCGAAAGTGTGTCAAAATTATACAAACCATTATTATACATCAAAAAAACTTACGTTAAGTGTACCATGTTCCGATTTTACAGAGGGAAATTCATCTTGCAATACAATTTTAAATTTCAATAAATAAATAAATAATAAAAAATTATGTAATATTATTTGATGACTTATTTTGCAATAAATTCGTGATACATTCCATGATAACTTTGTAAAGTTTAGATATTTTATTAAATTTAAAACAAAAAAATATATAAAGCCATAAAAGTAATATATGACCATGTAATTATGACACATTATGGTTGCTAGATGAGAATAATTGATTTGAATTGTTGGTTTGTGAATAAAGCCGGTCATCTTAGAAAAAAATTGTTTATAATTAATGGTACAGGTTGGAAAATTCCTAGAGCCCGTCGGCGTATAATTTTTATTATTATGAGACAGATATTTGAACAAAAGGATGTTAGATAAGGATGAAGGCGATGGGAATTTTTGGCTGGACAGCGAGGAGACAAGGTTGGTGTGGCATTGTTTTTTCTGAGGAGGGTATTTAGCTCAAACTGGGAGATTGGCAATAACTGTAATACTGTGAGATCTCAGGCAGTTGTCTCTGTGTTTTTCTGATATACGAAGGAGGAATCAAACAATGTGTGGGAATGAAATAGCTTTAAATGTTATTCACCAATCTAAAGCCTTCTAGAACAGATTTGAACCCATAAATTGAAGAAATCTTTTCGTTAATGACGTTGTCCTTAGAAAAGAGACTGCTAGAAGTATAAATCGTATGAATGAAACAAAAGAAAATCTAAAACTGCACTTGCGAAACATACATTAGACTTATGTTTGATTCAGAGAACTCGTTGATCCTCCATCATGATAATATATTAGAAAAATTAAAATATTTGAAAGCACTCTATATATCCAAGAGCCTAGGTAGTAAATCTTAGAACTGATGCCGACAGTTCAAACAATTTTTTCAATATAGTATATGATATCAATAATGATAATTGACTTCTATTGGTTATTACTTTATTTACACACCTATAAAATATGATTTAGTTTTACATAGTTAAGGGATCGGGGTGTCACTGACAGTGGGTAAGCACTGGCTTCCAATGCTCATGGTGCAGTGTTCTTATCTAGCTGACGGCAGATAATTGGTCATTAACTGTGGATCGACCCTAGATCTAGGAGACCCTCCTGAGGCACACGCATCCTATATAAAGTGGGCAAACTGCGTTAAGGAATTATTTAAAAGGGAACAGGAAGCAACTACGAGTCCTCTCGGTGAAGGAGGTCTTAGAGTAGAAGATGACCATGAAGAGGTTCGACCATGATTTCAGGATGGAGGAATACCGAGACATACTTAAGATTAAGTGTTATGGACTCTTTGCCGCTGATGGAAGAAGGCCTCTTGACCGACCAAGGATATCGTATTTGGAATACGTCGACCGATTTTGCAAAAGGAGAGGAAAAGATCTCCGCTAAAACAGGAACGTGGTAAGAAACAGAGACCAGAGGTAATCCTGGTTAAACGT